AGAGTCGGTTCTTAGCTTCGGTAATAGACGGACGCCGAAGAGTCCGAAATAAACTACTTTGCACAACATCCTGATTTGAGTAAAGTTCATTAGACCACCTCCTACAAAAACAAAAATAATATTCTAAGAAATTCTTACATTCTTCATACATAGCGACTACAACCAAAAGAAGGTATTAAAAGCATTGTTTGAACACATATCTTTGCAATCAAACTTTTTTCCAATATGTGTTGGCATTTCTATATGGATATTTTTTTTACAGATATTGTTAGGTTTTTTGTTATATAAAATAGGTGCATTTCATATTAATAAATCGGATGTTCCCCGATCATTATTTTACAAATGCATTTATCTTTTTAAAAAATTCATATTACTGGTCCGCGGGATTTAAAATTATGAATTTAGTGGTCCGTGAGGTACGAAAGGTTGGCGACCGCTGATTCAAATGACACATTAATAAAAGGCACAAACTTATCGGACGACCTAATAGCAACAAGTGGTTAAAAAATAGATTCAAATCGATACCTGCAGCAGCGTATACAGTACGCTGAACATGAAAACAACGTATCTCTTAATCCTTTGTTCTTTCTCATCGTCGAACGGCCACAGACCGATTTGCCTTGCACAGAAACGTACGTAGTTAAAGTAACGACTCTCGAAGAACGTCTCCATGTTCACTGGACGAGAATCGGCGTGCTTCTGATGGAAGAAACACCGAAGAATTGCTTCGGTCACCCTCCTAGCCTAGGGTATAAATTATTCGACAGCTTTGCACCTAGGGCACCCTGTCACCCTTTATTATGATATCATAGTAAGGGTAATTTTAAATGAAACTTTATGGTGTTCAAGGTAATTATGGCCACTCGTTTCTTATGCCAGAAGGGTTTCTCTGTTGCGTTTCATCACGCTGGAAATCGATTTTCTAGAGTTTGATTGACAGGGGTGGTATTTCCCGATGCTACGTGTGAAGTATGGTTGTGTTGGTTCGAGGTTGGAGTGCTTTCCTGTAAGAAAGGGCAGCACAGTTGACTTTTTACCGTAGTCGAAGACTATTCGAGATGTACTGTTCGCTGTACGAATGGAGACTTCCAGTATTTTGTATCTCTGACGAAGTGAATTGATCGTGCAAATATTGTTCAGGTATACTGGATGTACAGTAATTGCAATTTTTAGTAATTTGTTTGAAAGATCAGCACACAAACACCAAGTACCGAGGATCGCGAGCAGAAAGAACAGAAACTAACGGAAACGCCTTCCGACTGCTAATCTACAAGCGAAAAGCGGCAACAAGTGGTTTTCGAGCACCTTAGCTCGACGCAATCAATACCTGCATGAAGGCGTACGGGACGGCTGATGACGAAGCTGACGTTTCTGCTAATACATTTGGCTCTGCGTTTATTATATTGACGTGAGTTGCGACAAGTAACACGTTTCAAATTGTCTTACGAAGAACAGCACGTGTCACGTAAAGTAGCACATTTCATCGTTTCTTACGCATATTAGCACGTTTGGTCTTCCGCTGCGAAAATTAATACGTTACACTGTTTCCCCACGAAGAATAGCACATTTTGGATTTTGCGGTGAAAACTAACGCGTTCCGGCGTGTGGCTAATTGAAATTGTTGAAACGCATTTTGCATCGAGAAATTCATCCCTTGAAAATATTCTTCAATAAATAATAACTCCATTTAATCTCCGAAACGAAAGAAATATGAAAATGTTTCTCACTCTCGTCTTCGATGCACTCGAGATGGGAACGAATCGAAGAGAGATAACAGCTAGCAATTTCCAAAACACTTACCTCCCTCGATAACAGTCGTGATGTCAACCAGAGCCTGCGTCAATTAAGCGGGAAATACTGTATATTACGATCAGATCAGGGCAATCTGACTTACATGGTTAAAAAAAAATCAAATCTTGTCGGTTGCTGCGGTATAAAGCTAAATATGCTTTTTTAACCTGTAGCGGCACGCTACATACCTGCGTAATAAACATTCGGCGGGCAGACGGCTAGCAGGAAAAACACTTGAAAATATCAAGAACAAGCTAGCACTGTTTAGGATCCTCACGCCAGCGAAGCTATTTTTGAGAAGTCGTTTGTCAATCAATAATAAGGACGTTGGAAATTTACTCGTCCCTTACGTGAACTCTCTCGACAATCTCAATAGCGTTCGTAGGAATCCTAAACCGAGGGTCCCTCAAGGGCCTGCCGATTGAGGTTCGTAAACCTACATGTCGCACGTAGCGGCTGGGCCCGCGGGGCACCCCGCTGCTTTGCCGAATCTACGCAGGAAACATCACTCCCACCAAGTTGCTTCCCCACTCTCGGAAAATCACGCTAAGGGCGTAAAAAAGTGGGCGGTGGAAGTTCCACAAAAAAAAAGCCTAATTGGCTTAAACGGATTTCCCGTTTAGCCAATTAGAAAAAAGTAATTCCATCGAACGGGCCTAGAGAAACTAGCTGGTGGCCCGGCGAAGCAACGAGGACCGGTCTGCTGTGGGAGTCTAGTAAGGATCGTTAGCGACACTACCATTAAGTCACGCGCAGTTAGTAATAATAAAATACCTTTTTAAAGTACACTCGCGTCTTGATTGAACACATATAACCATATCCTTCACCGAATACAAAGGCGTGCTTAGTTCTTCAATATCTCACACGGTTGCCGTGTTACTGGTGAACGAAGGGAATATACACCTATAACGTCGGCTAGGCGATAGTAGTTCTTCGCAACTTTCACATTACATACTGCGGCGATATTCATACTCTAAATGGGGTTTGCTTCTGCTATGCATTCTGGAATCCGCCGTCTAATTTTCGAACTACGATGTGGGGGAAAATACAGATAATTAAATATTTCGACGTAAAAATAATTGCAAAAACTAAATGTGACCAAAGAAAACTTACCATTTTTTGGTACCGAATACAAATTTTGGGTATGTTATTTCAATAGCCTGTGGACCGCCGAAATGTCCCGATAAAGGCGTCCCGACGCCCACACTCGCACACGGACGATAAGCTGGAAGGGACGAGTTATCGAGAGACGACTCCGCTATCTGTCCACCAGAAACCCGAACCTCCGACCTTCTCTTATATTTTCCTTCCTCGAGCTTCGTGCTACACTCTAGTCCGGTACATACGCCCTTAATAAACTCCGTGCGACAGTCCTGTCCGGGAATATACGGTTACTCTCTTGTAGAATAGGTTCGTGAAGCCGCTACGGTTTTGTTAAATGGTAATTTTGTAAATGTGACAAGTGGTTTATAAACGGACAATCGAAGCAGAGCAATCTTGTAAAGTTTGTCGTAACGATAGTGCAGTATCGTAGTTTTAAGCGACTGTAGTTTTTAAGAATAATAGTTATAACTTAGCGTGTAGTTTTAAGAACAGGAAGAAGGCAGTAAAAGGAAAAGTGACGACGGACAAAAACCAGGCCCAAGGAATAACTGGGAACGCACAAGCAGATTTGAGGGCCAAGCAGCCACCCCCCAGACTGAACAACATCCAAGCCCTATCCCACTTCAAGAAATTATCCATTACGAAAAAGAAAAAATTAAAGAAGAATGGAATATCTGTTAAGCACTCGGGTACTAGTTTCTGCGTACTTCGAATATTGCACTAGGTGCCGTCTGAAGATTGATTGTATTGTGTTGAGAGTCTGACTGAATCCTTAAGATTCCTAATGTAACTGCTGATCTGTGTACTAACACTCTGTGGTCTTAAGCTAAGTCGGCCTTCTTATCGAGTCGTCCCTTCTCCAAATCTTCTAAAATTTGAAGAAGGGACGCGAAGGGAGGTTCTTAAAATTACTAAGTGACCAACCCCGTATC